GCTTCGAACTTGGCTCAGCCAATCAGAATCAAGGACCGGAACTCTCCGTTTTATAAAGTTCTGATTTATTATAGCCAGCACGGCATTGCTGCTTTCTACTTCTGCTTCCTGAACTTTTTTTTTTATTTTTTATATATATATATAATTTAATTTAATATTTTAACTTAATAATGATCTTAAAAGTTGCATTCTTTGCTTTACTGCTTAAAATTTAAAGTCGAATTTGACAGGCTCTATTATTATTTTGACATTAGAAAAATGGAAATTCCATGGAAAATGGAAAATGTACATTTCCAGTATGTTTTGATCTAAATAACCAACCTATAGACCAATTATAGGTTTGTAAACATTCAGGATGCGCGCGCATCATGGTTGCAGAAAACCCGGGAGAGATAGCCTTTACAGCTAGAGAATTACACGGATACGGTACAAAATAGTTAGGTTTAAAAAGATTATAAATTATATTGATTAGAGTTGCCAACTAATTTTCAGGGGAAGTTGCTAAAGGAAGGTCCATTGTTGCTAAAAGTTGCTAAATGACATTGTGATGTCATTGCACGATGACATTATTACATAATTATGACGCAAAATTACATAAAATCTCAGGAAACAAATATTTTATGTGTTCATTTAGATTTGTTCATAAAATAATATAACGTAATATAATATTAAAATATAAATAACTGTATTTTTAAATACAACATTGAATTATTGAACACTTACACATTTTTGAAAAATTACAATTTACGTTTTTTTTTTATTAGCTAGTAAACTAGTAAAACTACACATTTTGAACAATTATAGTTTTAAGCAGTGTATTAGCAGTTAGTATAAAAATAGGGCACAATCTATGTTAATATGAAGGAATTTTCCATATTGATTTTTCAGTTTTTTTTTTTTACCTGCATTTTAAAATTACGCATAGCATTTTGTGTTTTCGGGTTACAGGGTTACAATGGATAATGAATAATGGATAACGGATAATGTCCTGGAAATTCCATGGATTTTACCCATTTACCTCCACTTGTTCCCAGTGTTTTTCTGCAACCACTATGCGCGCGCAGCTGCAAGTGACGTCACTGTGACGTCTACTCTGAATTGGTCTATACTCTTTTCTGTCAGGAAGTTTGATTGGGAAAGCACATTAGTTTATATGATAACAGCGATGTCTTGCGCCCTCATGTGGCTGTGAGAAAAAAACACAACCACTTTTCACCATCCATTCATCCAAATGAATGAAAAGGAGCAGGTATTTATATAGATGCTGAAATGTCCATTAATGCACTGACCAGATTGAGAAGGGGCTCTTTCCAAAGGTTTTGTTTAGGGTCCTGTCAAGGTGAAGGTAAATTGTTGGCAGCCTCCATGCAGAGTAACTCAGATCAACACATTCATCACAAAAGAAGTTGAACAATATCTTCAAAGGCGTATGTCCAATGGTGAAAGGGACTGGATCTGATATATTCAAGGATGAAAGCAGTGTCTTAGACCTATAGCTGAAGTCATACACTGGTTTTAAAAATACAGAGTACATGACAACTTCATGGCCAGAGTCCCTATTTATTGACAGCTTTGTGTGCCGTAGATAACCATATGATTTGGAGGAAGAGCAGGTATAACGTCCCTCAAAATCCAGACTGAATATTTTAATAATATATGAGTCATTCTCCAGAAGTGGTGCAAATTCAGGTTTGTATGAAGTGAAACATTTGTAATTTTTCTTTTCAAATTGTATTTGTATATTTGTATTGCCTTATCTGAAATGCATGAATTTAATGTGGGTACACTAGAATCTTTGTATGTTTTTTCACAATTTCAGCAAATTTTAAACAATGCCCCAAAATTGGTCAATACCGAAACACAACAGAAAAGGTTGAATATCTAGAAAACAAATGAATATCTTTACGCATGTTGATTCAGCATGAAATAGTGAATTGTATTGCACTTTTTGGAACCTGTATTAGCTGTTAGAATATTTCAGAACTATTTTCTATTCTTTGTTATGTTTCAGTTTATACAGCTAGTATGAAAATGTATCTTGTTTTTATTGTTCAATTTAAGATGTTGAAGATATACAATTATTTTTTATACAGTGACAATGTGCCCCATCTTGGTGAGAAAAAAGAAAAGAAAAATGTTGATGCAGGTGTTCTTCTAATACGACGGGTGAGGAAGTGATCGCAAATTTCACATCTTTCTCTTTTGGAAAGTTGTGGAAATGCTGTCACTGAATATTTCTTTTGGTATTAGAGCAAATGCAGATACAAAAATTGTATCTCCTGTCATCTCCCATTTACCCCCATAGAAGTTTATACAACTATGACGACTTACACTTCTGAGAAACCCGGAAATGAGAAAAGGGCCCATTACAATTTCAGCAGCTATAACTTGATTTCACTGAAAAGAGGAGGCAATACAGTTTTTATAGCCTACTTACATCATCCATTTATTTACTTCAAAAATATTGCTGAGCTGTGCTTTTGGGCATATTTGTACCTGGTGTTTCTCTATATTCAATAAAAGATCAAACCAGGAAATGTTAAAAAAAAAAAAAATTTGATTTTTTTTATACATAAAAATAAAAACAAATATCACTGCTGAAATATACCAATATCAAAACAACCATGGATTGTTCGGTATTGATTGTTTTGGGTTTGACAATTCAACCTTAATTTGCCTTTATCTTAACGTGTGAGGACAATAAAATGCAGACATCAATGATATGAACAGAATAAAGTCCCGAAAAACATGTATAATTTTTCAACAACAAAAAAAATCCCCCCAAAATTGTCAAGAGTATCAAGAAGTATATATATATATATATATATATATATATATATATATAAACAGAAAAGCTCAAGTTCTTTAAAGTATGTTAATTTATGCACTCAATACTTGGTAAGGGCTCCTTCAGCACAAACTCCAGCATCAGTGAGGTGTGGCGTGGAAGCGATCAGCCTGTGGCTCTGCTGAGGCACTATTGAGTCTTCAGCTCGGATCGACTGTTTCCGATGTTGTTTCTGTTTCAGAAGTGGCTTGGTATTCCTTTTCCTGAAGAAGTCTGAGCGTGGTGCCTCTTGATGCACTGACTCCAGCTTCAGTCCACTCCTTATGAAGCTCTCCCAAGTGTTTGAATCGGCTGGGGATTCATAATATATAGAAAATGATACTGCACATTAAACTAATGGCAGGTCTGTTCTTGTTCTCGCCTCTAGATGACGCTGTGGGACAACATGAGTTTTTACAAACACTTGCACGTGCTGTGAGTCTCTCAACTTGTTTTTGCATCTCCCAATAAATAAAAAGTAGCACTGTAAATAATTCGACGGCACTGTAAACGCATAATACAACAAATAATAAAGAAACAACAAAAATCTTGAATGAACCCAA